GGTTCGTTGCAAAAACAAGCTTTGAATCGACTTTCGAACGAAGTTCGTTCTTTGTCTTTGAACATAGAGATTTCATAGTCTTCTGCTACTCAAGTTTGTCCTTTAACCACAGTTGACTGAACATTCTAAGCATCATTTTAACCTGACTACATAGAGTGAGTTCTAATGGACATTTTTCGAAAAATTGTATACTTTTCAAGTTTTATATCAACTCAAATTATTGATAATATTGAATGAATATTTCTGTCTCCATCTGACTGTTTAATAGACATATAGCATGATTTCAAAATTTGTTACAGCATTGAATACATTAAAATCACATTCCAGGTAGTCCACTCAAACTGCTAATCAAACTAGATATTACTGATGAGATTTATGACAGACTGAAACAATGTTATTGGGTATTGGAATATGAATTCAGTCCGTCAGGTAATTTTCTGCATTTGTGAAAGACTTGAAAGTTGAAATATCAAAATATCAAAAATAGAAAAAAATCATCAGTAGTTTTTGATTCACCAGTAATTTCGAAATTGTTATGTCAAAGTGACTTCTAAATGTGTTCATCATTGAAAAAGTTATAAGAGAATAAAATTTGAGAATTATGCTATTGAATCATCCCTTCAACTCAATTTTAGGAATTTCATAAACAATTTTACTAATCCAATGAAAAGTTATAAGTAATAGTATATTACCTACCGTGTAGGATAATAAGCCAATCACCCACGAGCCGAAAATTGTGAGCACCAGGCGTTAGCCGACTGCGATAATTCGCGAGTTGACATAATTGACCTTATCCTCGAGGTGCGTACTATACTTTTTCTACGAATGACCGTAGAAAGGAAATGTTTAAAAAACTGATGGCAACATTTCCTACAAATTATTTCATTAGAATACATTTTTGCTAAATTTTCCAAAAAAACGAGTGGGGTAGCACAAATTTCTTGATCGTTATCACTCATTTTGAATTTTTACGAGATACTGAATGTCAGGTTGTTGATTCACGGATATAAACTAGATTCATTACCAACCCACAAACTTTGAACAATAAATTTACTGAAAATATGAGTTTTATTTCAATTTTACAGAGAATTTGGAGAGAAAATTCACTGATTTTAATCATATATAGTTCAAATTTTTCCCAAAACTTATGAAAAAATAATTAAGGTAAACGGATAACACCAGAATTGTTATAAATTGAAAGCATAGACAGTATCAAAACAGCATCGCCTTCGAAACAACCTATTACGATAGCATTTTAATCGTAATTACATGTTTTCAATAGGATACTTCCACCTAAACGAACCGGGTCTCTCAACTATTTCCCGAGAATGTTAATTTCAGTGGTGATATCCTTTCTGCGTGTACCTTCAACATATTTTTCTTCCTCACTAATCACAGCCGACTTTATGTGGGGTGTATAATTTGTTTCGTTTTTTATCCGTTTAGAAATCTAGCATGCAGAATGTAGAAATATTCAATTCGTTCCAGAGTTCATCGTCATCAGCGGCGGACAAGAATAAATGTTGATGAAAAAGTGCAGATTTTTATATATTACGTACCTAAGTCAATTCTCACAGTCAATCAATTTCTGAATTAAAGTTCCGTGTCTTTTTTCTGAAAGGGAAAGTACACGCACGTTCACGGCATTCCTGCGTAGCGATAGAGAAATAAAGAAGAAATGAGGACTTCTTTATTTTTCAGAAAAAGAGGGATCAGTGTTGATATCTTCTAAGGTATGTGGATTCGAGACGAAAGGATGTATGACTTCGAGCCTATCACTGTCATCGAGATACCGGGTGTCCTTTCATAATAGAAAACCTTCTCACGGGGATGCTGAGCTCTGCCGTGATGTGCCTTATTTCCATATCTATTCGAAAGACCCTTCATGGGCCCTAAAAACAAAAAACCCTCCTCCGAGTTTGCAGAGAAGATAAAAGTCGACTAAACCTTGTAACATTGGACCAAGAGTGAGAGCTTCTTAGTTCTCCAACTCCTGATCCTGTTAACAAACCTAAGGGACTAGGTGGTGTATCCGGAAAATGACTCATCGCCTCTTTAAGAGCAAGATAACTTATAAATCTGCCTTGCACCAAGTAAACTGTTTCTGCCTAAATCAGCAAACACTTAAACAATGATTCACCCAAACCAGAGGCACAAAAGCTTTCCATGGCTGAATCAAATATATCGAGTAGATGACTCACAGATGTCCTCGTATAGAAATGTTATTTCGGTCATTAAGGTGAGAATTTTACACACTGAACATCCTACAACGTCAGTATCGACCAATCAACTGAACTCTTTTCAATATGCTGCAGCGATAGCTGCTTTAGAGAATATTTCAGAGGATGGTTCACAGGTAAGAGTCCATAACTGCACATTTTCAGCTAGATGATTACAGGTTAACTGCAAAGAACGGAAGAGTGTCTCCGGGGTGGTGATAAAACTCTGAAGCAAAGGATGGGCGCTTCTCTGGTATGAAGACCTATTTCCCAAGTCACACATTTATATTGCTCACCTACCTGTCAAAGGTAGTCGAAGACTGACCACTGATCAGGTCCTCACTAGTTTGACTTGGTAAATTTGAAGTGGACTTGTCCTCACATGAAAAATTCGAGCTCTGATAACAGAGCACACACTCCGTGCCTGACTGGAGTGAATTTCTGCCAGCATTTGGCAGAAATTCACTCTTGTCAGATAACCTTTCAACTTAGTAGAGAAAATGAATTCATTTGGCCGAGTTTGAATAGGAATGAGCCACACTAAACTCTCTAGGGTTGCAGTTAAGTGCCGAACAGTATCACTTCGACCAACCTATTTCTCTCTTGAAGAGACAACTATTCTTCTAAATGATGGTTTACGACTGATAGATGGGAGAGATTTTTTTGCTATTCTTGCTACCATGTCATTCAACACAAAGCCTTTGTTAATAATCAAAATGAGTTACAAGAGTAATCAACAGTGTTGGCATCAATTATAGTAATCGTAATTTTTATGTCCATCCTTACATTGGCAATGAAAGTAGATATTTCTGCCTGCATATATGGCAAACTATCTTATCAATTCCCCAAAGATATAGTCTGGTATTACCAAACACTAGAAATATCCTTTCGCAGAAAACCTTCTTTCAAACATCGAAATACCCAGTAGTGGCTGTTGAAATTCCGAACGATTAATATCGACAGGGATAAGCAAGAATCGAAAAATACCAAAGATTCTCTCCAGGAAAAATTCATAAAGAAAAAATGTTTCAAAGTCATCTTTCGCTTCTTGCCCTTCTGCGAATTCTATAAACGTTAGTCTTCCATGTGACCATTAACCACTCCACTCGCTTATTTCACGATGTTTATCAACCCCTTTTTGTTGAGTTTTACGAGGTAATGCCGACCTAATTTATATGTTCAATGTCGGTCGGACGAGATCACTCGCGTCTGCTAGCCACTAAAAATGTCCCGTAGACGAGAAATAATTGAAATTCCGACGACTTTTTCCTCGTACTAATATTCCAACTAATTTGTAGAACGTACTCTCCGACCTGAATTCCAAGATGGGAAATTAAAACTTGCGGTGCTTCACAAAAGAAAATAATTTGTGATGGGATGATGAAGTAAGGTGAGGTGTAACAATATTTTATACAACTGCTAGAAATTTTCGAATTAAAGTTCTTGGACCATGATATGAACGCATGTTTCAAATCTTGAAGAATGTTTACGAATATTTTGAAAGTAATAACGTTTTGAGACGGTTTTTGTGCCCTAATTGCTAGGACATAAGGACCTGTGACCTTTAAATGGATATAGAAAACCTACCCATATATACCTGGTGGACAAAAACAGACAAAAAATTTATTTTTTTGACTGCAATGCAATTATGTTCAGAAATCCAGCCCATCCTGAATCGCACTCGAAATAAGCGAAAAAAATGAAATCGATTATTTTGATATCTAAGCTCTTCTATCTGAATTATACAAAATATGAAAAAAATTCATGACTCTAATCTGGAACTGGAAAATCGAGAGAAGAAAGAGAAGTAGGAGCTCAAGTGACCTAAAAATAGTCTCGAATTATCAGGAATAGGACAGCTATTACTCAAAAACGCTTGTGAATACTTTAACAAACCAAACGTCATTTTTTTTGTCTTACATTATTTTTCTTTATTTTCTGTTGTCATTTTTATCGTGTGTATACATATTTATACTTTTCCACTCATTGTTCTACTCTTTCAATTAATCTCCATTTAAGATCACAATAATTTATTTTTTACTCATTGTTTTTTTTCACATTTTGCATTTTGCAATCCTGGCTATTTTATCATTTATCAATATTTCACTATTTTTTTTTTCTTCTCTTAGATTTCAAACATGTCAACACTTTTTTAGAAAATGTAAATCTGAACCTCCAACAGCCACCAAGAAACATTGTCAAGCACATTGAAACATATAAATTATCCTTCATTTTTCAATAAGAGCCCTTGAATACTTATACGGTATGAAAATTCTTCAAAAATTTCTTTGTAATGTAAGTCACCCCTTTCCAAAATTTATTTCAAACATGTCCAAGAGCATTACACACTCTGTATGATGACGAGACTGTAAATCTCTCGCTTCATTTGTACATTGATATGGAATAAATGGAATTCCAAGAATATCAACCAACGCATTCGCTCGAAAACAATTTGTTTTACAAATATGGCTAGCCTGGATTTCTTTATTAGTCCAGGACAACTTTTGATAATCATAACAGAAAAAAAATGTTCTCAGATAAAGATAATATTTCATGTCTTGCTAGATCCCGAACGGTAGACAAGATTAGAAAGATTCGAAAAACAACTAAGTTTTATATATTTATATGCATAATTATTGTCTATTTTACCTTCTTGGAACGGCACAAGTGATCTCACTTTTCTCCCTTGTAATAGCTGTCCTTGGTTTTGCTTCAGTCCCACATTACGGAAAGAGAACATTCAGGATTCCTTGTATGCCAAAATTACAAGATTTTCCCAATAAATGTATTAATATGTAATTAAGAATAGATGTATACTTGCTAATTTGAAAGCGAAACCCTTCAACACATTGAATTGAAAACTTCAGCTCAGTGCTATTAATAAACATCATTGTTCTTAGAATATGACAGTGAGACAATTCTGATTATAAAGTCGAACATAGATTCCTGACTACAATGGATTATTGACCTTCACATCAAAACCGTCTACTGAGATCACATTCTACAATGTCGTCTGCTAATAGTAATTACTTGATAATAGAATAGATTTCCTTATATCCGTAAGAGGACTCCGTTTACAAGGAAGCTTTCTTAATTACATTTAATGTTATTCATTGGCAAAACATCAGCTTTTCTGAAACGAGATCTGGCTGCTCTGGAATATTGGACAATAGATTTCTTGAACGTTTCCAGAAAAAAAATTTGTTGCTATTCAGGACAAGGTGTTCGACATCTGAAAAGATAGAAATACAATAATGCAGAAGAGAGAGAAGAGAAAACATGAAGGTGTTGGGAGTTTTGGAATAATTCCTTGTCCAAGACTTTCTTTATGCTGATGGAAAGCTCTGCATGTATTTTTTCTGCAGAAAGTTAAAGAAAATAAACAGTTTTTCCGTTAACCAGCTGTAGCCCCCCTACGAACATCTCTCAAAAGTTTTGTGCGAGCTCTTACCTTTCAACGTGTGATTCTTGACACGGGTTGGACTACACAAAGTGGAAACCGATCGTCCGACCTTGCAGTTCGAACCACCGGCTCACACAGCGGTGGATTGGGTGAGTGAAGCAAATCACCTATGTCAACCTACCAGGCTACCATCCTACCCAAATAATGTTATATTTATTAAAACTGTATAAAAGCAGATGGAAAAAATAAATATTTAAAAACTTTTGTTTTTTCACAGTAGGTGTTCGAGAAGAACCAGCACGTTTATGGCATCGATACCCGTGGGTTGGGTTACTTATCGGGCTCGTCCTCAGGTGGCGGATATGGAAACGGCCATGGGATTGGAGACCCTGTCCGGGGAGCCGATGTGGCCTTACGGACAGGGTCGCCGGACTCCTAGCCAGTGGCAGTAGGGTGAGGGGAACTAAAACTCCCCAAAAGCCTCTGCAAAACATGTCACCGTGGANTTTCTCTTCTCTCATTTTTATTTTTTTAATTTCTATTCATTTTTTACTATTTTTTTTATTATTTTTTTATATCTTCACGGCTAAAAATTTCCCAACTTTTTCTCAAGTCGAAAAAGCAGGGGGAGGCTCCCCCCATCCCCCCCATGGCAATGGCCCTGATCATGTCCTTCCAATATGGCGATACCATGACACCTTTGGTACGTAGACTGCAGTTTCTGAATATCCGAAACATCAATATTCATCAATTAGCTAGAAGCTGGTTAGTGAAGTGTGTCATAGAAGAGCAACTTCCCAAAAATGTGTTGATTTGAAAGTAGGTAATCGCAGAGTAACTGATGATCGGGTCCTTTCTAGATTGATGAAAATGTACCATGTCCTAGTCAACCTCGGAGTAAATTATTCTAAACAAGAGACTTCTAGCCTTGGTTGCAGAGCTCATATACCCTGTATCTGTCTTCCGTGGATCGCAGATTCCCACTATTTTCAGCTAATCGGAAAGAGCACTTTCTGAATACAATAATAATCTTCGTTTAGCAGCTGGATTTATTTGGTAATGTTTGAATAGATTTGAACCGCAACGAACCTATAATAAGTTGGTATCCATCGAAAAACTGACAAAATTTCCAACAAAAATAATAAAAGATACCATGTCGGATTTTAAAACCCACTTGTCTCGGACTATATTCGATTTTCACGAAATCGGGCGCATTACCAATCAGATGTGACAGATTGCCTTCACGCATGGCCGACCACGATGCAACTTTTCGTAATTTTTCGAATCAATTACTGAATCTCAATTCTCGTCGTCGTCCGTCGATCGAACGTGGGTATATCATTTCCGAAGAGTCGGACACCACGCCGAATAATAAAGTGATACCCTTTTTTATTGAATAAAATCACCTTTGTGATTGCTCACGATGAAGTCGATCGTGCGTTCTGGTTAATAAGGGTACTTCTTTCGAATTGGGTTTTTCTTATCGAATGGATTTCCATAAAAATTATCGATTGGCTATCACAAGAATGTGAAATAATTGTCTGTCTATAAATGTCATCAACAGATTCAGCTTTTTTTTGAAGAACCTGAATAATGCAACAAATATTGGAGAAACTATAGATGTCATTCACATTTGAATCATAATAATTTAGTTTGGGTCATATATACTAGTGTGTACATATTGCTTTCTTACCAACTACATAATTGTGTAGTATTAAATATCCATGCGGAAGTGGAGAAGAAAAAAAAAAGAGTTTCTGATTAACTAGTTGATAACCTCTATTAGAGAAACCAAATGAGATTCTAAGTATCTAATATCGCAAGGAAATTGTGGAAGAATGCAGTGATGGTTAGATTGCGTTCATCCAACGTTGTTGGTTCATATTTCATTGTTTCGATATCACATTCCAGTAAGATTGTAAACTGTTCAGTAAAAACATCACAATAAAGAGTTAGTTCTATACGTTATCCTGGATTTTCATCAAGTATCGACCATCCCATTACATATTCAGTTGACTGGTAGATATTAAAGATGTTCGGATGTTCAAGTAGCAAAATATCCTTGATAATCGCAACAACTTTCTTATCTGAAGGCATCTGAAAGTCAACTATATCTAAAAATTCATTTCACATTCAGTAGTTGTTTGGTCTCTGGTTTAATAGTTATAATAATCTTCATTTTCAGGATGTACAGAGTGTACAAATAGAAACAATCAAAATATTATCTAATTATAAATTAGTAATGAATATGAAACTCTTTGGAAGGTTTGAAATAGACGAACATTTCAATCCAGCAAACCAGTATTATGATATTCATGCAGTCATTGTTCACTGTGGTTCTGGAGTTGAATTTGGTCATTATTACGCCTTGGTCAAGGAAGAAACGGACTGGTTTAAGTTTGACGATATTCGCGTCACGAAGTGTTCTGGCGATGTATTGAAGCTATTGGAGCCTCTGAAGACATCCTACAATTTGTTTTATGAGAGAGAGGACATTCCGGGTTTTCCTGCAGCTGAAAAAGCAAATGCGCTACTGGAATCAATGAAGTCGCCTCGGCGCGCCAATTAATTTTTATTGTTGTTTTTATTTTTATCGTTGTTTTAATAAAATTAAAACTATAAAATAATATGACTCAATTCATTTAATGAAAACTAATAATGTTTTATCAAAAAACCAATTTCAAATTACACACAAACCTCATCAGAGTCGAAATTACCATTTAAAAAGGTAATTTGTTGAAAATTCTCAAGCCTTAGTGGTACCTAGACTCAACACAAGTGTCTAGCTTCCAAAGAAGAACGTTAAAGTTTCAAGTTTGTCTTGTATTGAAACTATGTACGGATGAGTTCAAAATTAGAGTTCGCCTTTCAATTGAAAATGTGTACATAGACTTTAAAAATTAACAGACTACGCAAAGTCTGCTTCTTTCAAAAATGTATGTATCTAGCTAAAATATCAATCAATGAAGGTTCCAAAAAACTTAGTTGGCTCGACATTCTCCAGTAAGATCGAAGTTCGATTTTACTTCGAATTTTTTGGCGATTATGAAACACGCATATTGTTTCCGAACTGTCAAAATACGAAGAGTGTGTACTACACCATCTAGACAGATTACCCAAAATTCTGTTACGTAATTCCTATAATTTCTATTTTTTCAATGATTTCGATGAATCATTGGCATATTTTATGAAGATTGCACTCCCCGTAATTTCATTCAAATCATCGGTTTAGAGCGGTTACAATATTGGTCCTAATACAGATCCTTACGGAACACCTACATCAATACGGGATTGTTCAGACTTTTTTTGTATCATACATGAGTTAACTCTTGATGTTATTCTGACGAATTGTTCTTGGCTTCCATGAACATACAAATTATCTAGGAGAATAGCCTCCCCCTCAATAAATTCTCATTATAGTATAAATCAAGAGAGAAAATACTTTTTTGAAATCAGCAAATTGCGAATTTTCAGTTGATTGATTCACCAGTAGTCCTATATACTTTGTTCAGATGTTATAGATCCTTTCATATATTTACGGAGCCACCTAGTACAAGCCGTCGCGAAAATATAGTTTTAAAATTCATAAGCGGCTCCCAAACACTGAATAAATAAAAACAAAGGACTATTGACAATGAAATTAACATCACAATTTAGGAACCCGTTTTCATCAGAAACCGCAGACATTATTTATTTATATTATTCGTGGTCGAGTAACGAAATAAACAAGTGACTAATTCTATGCAAAAAGGTTCTGCTGCATGACCTTCATTCATTTTTCCGAGAAAATGATAAATATGATAAATTTATTGTTGGAAATTAAATAAACCGGTTACCAACAAAATTTATTAGTGAGATATTGCACAGTGTAAGATGGATGATAGAAAAGATCTACGTTCACAATCATTTCTCTTTGCATTCATTATTTTTGTATCTTATACACTTAACGAGTATTAACACCCAAGTAAGCTATTATACAGTGTGTCTCACTTCTCATGGAAACACCCTCGTATCTTCCGTAATATTCGAGGTAGAACGATGAAACTCTCAGGATTCATGGAAATGCTCAAAATGCACCTACCACCTGAATGGGGTTGGCCAAAGGGATATACACTGTCCGCCACTCGCGATGGAACACCCCATTTTTAGGTAAAACATATTACGGCGCAAAATAGTTCTCTTCCAATACCTAAACCCCGTCATTCTATCTGGAGAGTACTCTCAGGTATGAAAGATACAGATGCTGTGACAACTGTTAATTTTTAAAGAAAAAATCGCACTCGGTGAACAGGTAGAATTTAGATTATTTTACCTACTTGCTGAATTGTTGTCTGAAATCATTTGAAGGGAATAAACCGGTTACCAAAAACATGTATTAGCGAGATATTGCACAGTGTAAGATGGAAGATCGAAGTGATCTACGTTGTTGAAATACTCAGTTTTACAAAGATTATATCTAGGAAAAATAAGAATCAACAGTAATTACGGTAAGACGATTTTGGATACTCGTGCTAACAGTTGAAACTTTATAGAGACGATTCGTGAGAAATATTGTTCTTCTTCTTCTCTTTTCGCAATCATTTCTCTTTGCCGTCATTATTTTTGTATCTTATTGGCATCACACTTAATGTCAACAACAATAACGAGTATTAACACACAAGGAAGCTATATATTGAAACAGATATTGAGGTTTTGTAAATTGTTCAGTCAAAATCCCACAACTAAGTGTTACTTGAATTTTAGTATACATGTCTGTGAAAGTCCTAACTTCAAGAAGTATTCTCTATTTGAATCTCCATAATTCAAAATGAATATGGTACAAATTGATCGACATTCGAGTATAGAATTTCATTGTGAAGTAACGAAATTTCCCCAAATATTATATTCTGGTACTTGGGTAATATACAGAGAAAAAAGGCAAACATTGAAAATATAAACAAGAAATGAAGCTGGTCCAAAAACAGAACTCTGAATACCTGGACCTACCAGCTGTAACCACCCTGTAGAACGACCATGACCCTTCCAACCTCGAAACTTCTTTGATTTCACGAAAATTGTAACAAGATTTTAAAATATTCGAAGCTCCATATGCGAGACGGTGTTGTCGCATAGATTCAGCGGATCAAATTTGATGGATTTCATAAGCTCCTTTCCCAACTCGTTCGGTATTCAAGTCTCCATGTTTTATCAATACGCGTCGAGTTCTTTTAGCCGCAAACCTATAAGGTGCGTGACGATATTTATCTTTCCGGTTGGAACAGAATGTACAATGAGGTTATCCTAACCTATTTCGAAACTTGTTTAGTGTATTAACAATTTCAAATCTTCAGAAAAACTATACAGTATGATGCTTCGAATTTTTCACAAATCTAGTTGATAAGTTTACCGAAAAAAATCTTCTCAATCTCTAATGAAATGAATAAATATTTCTAATGATATTTAACAAGTTGAGGTTATGCTTAGTGGCGGAACCCCATACATGTGGGCAATATCCCAACAGTAACGTAAATATGTCAAAACACATCAGTATTCAACTTATGCCAAAGCTTATTTCCGGGTTTTTGGCCGTGATCTGTAAGTTTTTATGCCTGACATTTCGCCTGTGGTAGACATTATCATAGGTAACGGTCGACTGTCTTCCGACCTCGACCGCGATATTCTGCAGGAAGATCGGGTTCATCGTATCCTCAGGGATGATGACGACGATAACATCCGCCCGGCTTCTGTGGAAGAGCTGAAGGGTTATATCAGGGCCGCAAAGGCTGAAAAAGCTCCGGGGGCTGATTCAATAACCAACAGATTATTGAAGAAGCTCCCAGACAAATGCGTTGAGAACCTTTTATTCACAATAAACAGCTCACTGACAGACAGACAGAAGGTGGAAACAGGCGATCGTTGTTATGATCCCAAAACAGGGACAGAACCGGCTGTTCCCGCAGAACTATCGCCCGATTAGTCTGCTCTCGTCAGCGGCTAAGCTGGCTGAATGAGTCGTTCTTCAAAGGCTCAACGAAGAAGTTGAGGACCAAAATGTTTTCCGTGACGAACAATTCGGCTTCAGGAAAGAACACTCCACCGAGTTACAGGCTCTAAGACTGGTCGAAAACACCACCGCGGAGCTAAGTCGAAACAGAAATGTCCATGTCGTCCTATTAGACATCTCGAAGGCCTTCGACCGTGTTGGGCACGAAGGCCTTCTGCATAAATTAATTGCGTTCGACCTGCCTCGGGGCCTAATTCGGTGGACTGGGTCTTTCCTGAAAGACAGAACATTTCAGGTTAGAGTAGGGGATATGCACTCTCCCACGCTGTATTCTCTTTACACCAGCGACCAACCGAGGTCCGATCATGTGAAGATATCCCTTTACGCTGACGACACGGCTCTCCTCTCATCTTCCATGGGTCGAGAGCTAGGGATCGTCTACATGCAACGTGCATTGGACGACCTCGAGCGCTGGTACCTCAAATGGAAAATCCGAGTGAACCCGGAAAAGACTCAGGCGATAACCATAGGAAGACTTCTATCTTCTCCGGCCAGAAAAGTGAGAATCTCTGGAAGGGAGATCGACAGGCAAGCGCGGGTGAAGTACCTCGGCCTTCTAATAGACCTTAGGCTCACTTGGAACCTGCACATTATGTACGTTAAGTCAAGGTTCGAGGGTCGGATAGCTAGTCTGTACCTTCTGATCAACAGAAAATCAAAAATGAGTTTAATGAACAAGATAACCATCTACAACATGATGCTCAAGCCTGTCATCATGTACGCTTCAGGCGTCTGGGGACAAGCAGCTCCGTCCAACATCTCCATCTGGGAGACTTTACAAAATAAATTACTACGGATGATTGTGAATGCTCCATGGTTGGTGCGGAATAAAGCCATCCGCAGAGATTTGCAGCTGCCTTCCATTCAACAGTCCATACAGTTGAGGAATCGGAGAGTTTTCGATTGTGCGGAAACTCACGATAATCCGTTAGTCAGGGAAGCTATAGATTACGTTGTAGACGACCCCTCCCGATATAGAAGGCCTCGACACTGTCGAATGAGGAGCTCATGTCCTCCGTTAATAGATGATTATTATCTTCATCCATCTCACCCCAGGCAGGTAGGGGTACACGGCGAAGGGCGGTACTGATGTCTGAAGACATTCAGGCCGCCATCACTAATCAGTTATGACACACTTGTCTCTCTGACAAATGGGTAGGGGAGCTGGGTTTTATCCTGAATGAAATCAAGATGATGAACATGTCTTTCGACAGTCCGAGTCTCTGCATATGATGATTCAAATGACAGTGACCTGTGAAAATCCCTATTATAGTTCAACATCTTCTGCAGTTCTCTAAAGCAGTTCGTAGTTGACAGTTGGAGACAAAGTCGGAGGTCGTTTCCAGAATGCTGCGACTTCCAGTGTCAACCAACAGTCTATTGCACTCTGCAGTAAATTAATTTGTGCAATTGGCAATGTGTACAAGAGGAGGTAGATCTAGAAGGGTCTCAACTGACAGTGTGGTACAGATGGCACCATTGATGGCCACACAAGCCTGTCTCAGTAAGCCAGAGAGCTTCGTCTGAACCGTTTTCTGTAAAGCATTCAGCCACCAGGCAATTGCGCCATAAGTGATCATTGGTCAGACAATCATCACATAAATCCAATGACTTTTTTTGGGGCCTGAACCCCAAGTTTCACAACGAATCCTTCGACATGTCCATAGGGACGGTCTGGCTTTGTGTAAAACTTTTTCCAAGTGGCCGTTCCAGGTGAGTTTTTTATCAAGGACAATGCCAAGATATTTCACCTACGTTCCAAATGCAATGACCTCACAATTGAGGGAAAGTGGCTTTAAATCGTCCAATTTTCTCCTCGGATTATCACAGTTTTGCTGGGGTTGACAGGCATCTGCTCCCTCAGGCACCAACTGTGAACAACTTCCATCGGACTTTGGAGGATATTACAAGCTAACCTTTGCGACGTGGACCTTGCCAAGATGACAAGGTCATCTGCATAAGCTTGCAGATCAACTTTCCTCCTGTCGAGGACATCAAGCAGATTATCCATCAGGAGCGACCACAGAAGGGGATATAGTACACCATCTTGAGGGCAGCCTCTGCTGACCCTGAACCTAATGGCCTCGCCTAGAAGAGTATTAGTTGATGTTCTATTTACCAGTATGGCATAGTTCCAACCAGTTATGGTAAGGAAACGGGTATAGTGAAAGAGAATTCTAGTAGATCAAGCTAGACTAGTCCCTATGTTAAAAATGTTACATACTGGATTGGAAGAATCTCAGAGAAACACGACGTGAAATCAATAATTAAGCAAACGAAAACTATCAGAGAAAGTTCAAGGCCAGCTAAGGACCCCAAAGAACCTTTAGCAACACCAGGAGTATACCGGATTTCTTGTAGGTGCGGGTCGGTCTACATTAGAACCACAAAAAGAAGTATCAGTCGAAAGGGTAAGGGAGCCAGGCTCCAACCTGTTTTAAGCCATGATGACACGAACAAAAACAAGTATAGGTACTCGCCTCTCTGAACACAAAAAAAATTGTCGCCGAAAATTAGCCGACCATGCGCTCAAAAAGAAGGCCCACACATTATCTCATTTGGAGATACCATACTACTCAAAATAACTATCCAAGAGTATATATAGTGGCAATAAAAATTCAAAAACACAGGAATTATTTCAATAGAAAAGAAGAGGCAATGAACATTAATAAAATCTGTATTATTTCTAACAGGATATTCATTTAATTAAAAAACATTATATCACTTTTGATCGACAATATTTGAAAAAACTGGGAAAAGAGGAATTGGAAAAATAAGTTATATCCGTTTTTAGACCGTAGCGTAGGTACCGTCAACTTGGTAAGTAAATAATGGAAAATTCCACCATAAACCCGTGGTTATGGATTTTCACACTTATACAGATGTATTACTATCCAAATATGGAAAACTACTTCAAATATTTTCACTTTCATTAGACCGATATCGGTTTAACGAATTTTTTTCTATACCTGATGTTTGACTTATAAGAAAAACGCCAGTGACTTGAACAAGACAAGAAGATCCTCATTTCATAAACTACAAGAAATAAGTCAGAACTAGTGTTCAAGACTTGATTGAAATAGAATTCTCAATGAGGTGATGGTTTGACTAAAAACAAAAGTAAATAACTCACCATTCTACAAGAGATTTCACGATGGATCTGATATTTGGGCTAGAAATTGCGTCCATGCAAACTCCGATCCGTCCAAGCTCTCAGCGTTATTGTTGTTGTTTGATGTAAGGTGTAGAACATGTCTATTCTGCGTCAGTTGTTCAACTGGTTTTCCTGAAATGAAAATTTGCTTTCGAAAATCTACCGCAAGCTATAATGGCCAAGGGAAGAACTTTTCGTAAAAATACTAAATCACCCCAAGAATATGATAGAATTGACCGATATTCGGTAAACATCAATTGTAACGTATTCAAAAAACATACTTCGAAGTGAGATTTTCACTCGAAAGTTTACATATCCGCGACAGGTGTTTCGCATTAAATTTTGTTTTTCAAATACGTTAAATCACTTCAATTTTGCAAAACCTCCAACTCCAACCTCCAATAGAACGATTTCCTGGATTGTTGAAAAAATTAAGAAGCAGAAATGGAGAAGAATACAGATTGGGATGGCAGAAAGGGTTACTCATGACAGTTTCAAATTGGTATCATTACAGAATATTCAAGATAATCATTAACCGCACACCACAGGCGCATTTGTTGACCAAGATCAACTAATTTCGACTATGGTAATCGCGAATGAAAAGTGTTTGCTGATACGAGTGACATGTATCGCAACGAAATAAAAGAGCGAGTGGTAACAAACCTAGAATCCAGAGTAAAAGTAATATAATAAAAGCTAGAACCTTTTACAAATAACAGGAATTTTCTTTACACCTGTCATTGATATAGGGCGCTCGAAATTTCGATAACTTATTGAAATGAGATATTAGCCACCGTTTATCTTTTCTTGACCTACGTTATAAGAAATGCACTCTTCGTTACATTCTAATGACACTGATGTTTGAATATTACTGGAGTTCTATCCCAACACCAAATCGTTATTTTTAACACCTCAATTACCAAGTGATCATCTTCAAAATAATCATTTTTGATTTTCCTCTTGAAGATGATCACTTTGTGATCATCTTCAAGAGATCACTTGGTGATCATCTTCAAGATAATCATTTTTGATCTTCCCCTTGAAGATGATCACTTGGAGATCGAAAACACGTATCGAGGTGTTGAAAATAACGATTTGGTGTTGGAAAAAAACTCCAGCAATATTTATTACTACACCAAAGGATTCAAACAGTGCATCACAAGTACACCAATGTTTATAAAAGAGCCATTAATTGCAATATCTACATATTTCACTCTTTATTATCAAAATATTCGTTAGCTGCCGTTCTTGCTTCGAGCTACGAGAAAACGTATTCGAACCGTATAAAAAAGTCGTTACTGTGATTTTATTGGCTATTTCTGGAAAAAAATTGACGAAAAAAACGGTTGTGAATTTTAAAATATTAGTCCGTTAAGGACGTAGACGTTGATGCTGGAGAACAAGCAATGGTTATCTTAGTATTACCAGGATATATACAATGAATTCATGTAGTTCGACCCACTTCCAACCCAATTATATCAATATTAGATGATAATACTGATAATTGAACCTACATCCAGTAGGATCAAACTTACGATATTGGAAAATTCATTAAAACTAAAGATTATATGTACACAAAAACTTTTTATATGTTAAAACATTCATTTCTGATCAATTTAAATATCAAATCACCAAGTCTAGAGAACATTAACAATGAAAAATATATAGTATATTCAGAAAAAATTGCCCTGATTATTCCTCTGCACCGAAGAAACAATTTATGATGAAGTATATTCCGTTAGATAATTTTTATTGTTGTTTTTATTTTTATCGTTGTTTTAATAAAATTCTAATATTTATGATATACATAATAATTTTCCGAAGACACTACATTTGATTAAAAAAACAGTTTTCCAGAGGAGGATCCATTATCAATTAACTAATCTATTCACTTAATGGTCTCTAAATAATAGAGAGCACAGGTTTCGTAGACAATTCGCGTTCATGGAAAGATCTACAAAAAATGTTACCAGATTTTTGAAAAGATTAAAAAAGGATATAAGTCAAATAAAAACATATATATGAAGCTGGGAGGGAAGACATAACATAACAAAATAACTGGATACATTACAGGGGGAATTTTTACAGAAGAGAAAATGCGATCTAGGAAAGGGGAAAATCAATATCAATAGCATGTGAAACATAGATGGCTGGGCTGCATTCTACAAATGCCAAAAAAATAAATATCGGTGTCACTATCGAGTTTGAAGTCCGTCGATTTTTGGAATTTCTTCCTGACGTATCGCTGGCGCGAGTGGCATGCTTCTTCAGACGTTTATACATCCTGAGTTATTTCCGATGACTAGATATTACAGCTGCGTAAGGCATATTCCTGTTGACTCAGATAGTTTGGTGTGTTAATACCTGTACCTTTATCAAATAGATTGTCAATAACATTCGTCGACTCTTTTGTACCTGCTGTCATAAATATCCTAGAAAAATATCGCGCAGGAGAAGCAGGAAATAGAGAATGATCAAGAAAGAAATATTTAGACGAATTATTGAGTGATTTAGCAGAAATTGGAATAATAAATTGAAGAAAACATACGAAGGACCTGGAAAAGTGGAGAAAACTAACCAGAATATAAAAGCCAAAGGCGTCAACGCAATGTAGCGTCGTTGCAGGTATATAAATATCACCTCTGGGACACTCGTTTATACTTTTCAGTAATGATAAAGTTTGAAGGAAATATTAGACATAATATTAAATCCAAGAGTCTCGATCCTCAATGGGATTATTACTTATAAAAGCAATCAAAAAAACCGTTAAAAATTCCCGAAGTTCAGTTCCTACTAGAAACCCTCACGATTCTTCTAGCATGTACTAGCCAAGGCAAGAATAGGATATTTTCAGAATTATATCTGACAAAAAAATCGATACGACTGAAATGACGATTCGCAAGAGTCGTTAAGACGTTGCGTCACGACTATATAGTTGTATTCTCGCGGGATTTTTCCTCACCTACACGCACGACCAACTGGCAGTTTGTTTACGTTTTTTCGATTTGTTTCGTCTTGTTTTACTTTCAATATTTACGTTGTCAACACGTAGTACGAGAAAGCGAATAATAACAACTTGTTAAACTTGACGTTGCCAGTTACTTCCTACAAATTACATATTAACCACAAGACGCATACCAAAAGCCAATAATCTATTTTTGAAAATAATCATTATTTAAAACCCAAAGATACATTTGAGTCACTTGAATTGAGCAGGTAAATTATAATTTCAATAAAGATTCAATAAAGAATAAAACTTTTGTCTAATTTCTACTGAATTTATTATTTGGCCTAATAAATCCAAACCGGTCGTAACAAATAATAAACTTAGTATAAATCAGCAAAAGTTATTTTCTCTTATCTATATTCAATATGAATTCCTACAAAATAAATAGGTCATCAATCGAACAAAATAAATTANTTCCGAAGACACTACATTTGATTAAAAAAACAGTTTTCCAGAGGAGGATCCATTATCAATTAACTAATCTATTCACTTAATGGTCTCTAAATAATAGAGAGCACAGGTTTCGTAGACTATTCGCGTTCATGGAAAGATTTACAAAAAATGTTACCAGATTTTTGAAAAGATTAAAAAAGGATATAAGTCGAATTAAAACATATATATGAAGCTGGGAGGGAAGACATAACATAATAAAATAACTGGATACATTACAGGGGGAATTTTTACAGAATAGAAAATGCGATCTAGGAAAGGGGAAAATCAATATCAATAGCATGTGAAACATAGATGGCTGGGCTGCATTCTACAAATGCCAAAAAAACAAATATCGGTGTCACTATCGAGTTTGAAGTCCGTCGATTTTTGGAATTTCTTCCTGACGTATCGCTGGCGCGAGTGGCATGCTTCTTCAGACGTTTATACATCCTGAGTTATTTCCGATGACTAGATATTACAGCTGCGTAAGGCATATTCCTGTTGACTCAGATAGTTTGGTGTGTTAATACCTGTACCTTTATCAAATAGATTGTCAATAACATTCGTCGACTCTTTTGTACCTGCTGTCATAAATATCCTAGAAAAATATCGCGCAGGAGAAGCAGGAAATAGAGAATGATCAAGAAAGAAATATTTAGACGAATTATTGAGTGATTTAGCAGAAATTGGAATAATAAATTGAAGAAAACATACGAAGGACCTGGAAAAGTGGAGAAAACTAACCAGAATATAAAAGCCAAAGGCGTCAACGCAATGTAGCGTCGTTGCAGGTATATAAATATCACCTCTGGGACACTCGTTTATACTTTTCAGTAATGTTAAAGTTTGAAGGAAATATTAGACATAATATTAAATCTAAGAGTCTCGATCCTCAATGGGATTATTACTTATAAAAGCAATCAAAAAAACCGTTAAAAATTCCCGAAGTTCAGTTCCTACTAGAAACCCTCACGATTCTTCTAGCATGTACTAGCCAAGGCAAGAATAGGATATTTTCAGAATTATATCTGACAAAAAAATCGATACGACTGAAATGACGATTCGCAAGAGTCGTTAAGACGTTGCGTCACGACTATATAGTTGTATTCTCGCGGGATTTTTCCTCACCTACACGCACGACCAACTGGCAGTTTGTTTACGTTTTTTCGATTTGTTTCGTCTTGTTTTACTTTCAATATTTACGTTGTCAACACGTAGTACGAGAAAGCGAATAATAACAACTTGTTAAACTTGACGTTGCCAGTTACTTCCTACAAATTACATATTAACCACAAGACGCATACCAAAAGCCAATAATCTATTTTTGAAAATAATCATTATTTAAAACCCAAAGATACATTTGAGTCACTTGAATTGAGCAGGTAAATTATAATTTCAATAAAGATTCAATAAAGAATAAAACTTTTGTCTAATTTCTACTGAATTTATTATTTGGCCTAATAAATCCAAACCGGTCGTAACAAATAATAAACTTAGTATAAATCAGCAAAAGTTATTTTCTCTTATCTATATTCAATATGAATTCCTACAAAATAAATAGGTCATCAATCGAACAAAATAAATACTCATTTTCAGGCCTTTTTCTTTCTATGAACTCCCAAAATCAAAAGTTGTCTTTTGTCTGTTATTTGCCTTTATTTGTTGGTTCTCTGAATTAAATTCACTATCAATG